ACACACACACATACATACAGACATAGTGACAACCTCGCGGGGATAGTCAGGGAAGCTTCCTGTGACCTTCAAACGTCGAGATCTGATGAAAACTCGATTTTTGCAAAACGGGGTGAAAACAATAACTTCCCGATTTTTGAAAATCTTCGATTTTCTTAGCAGGAAGTTAAAAATTAAATGCGTTTATCTCAGAATTATGTTCTTCTGGTTTACGTACATAATATATCTCCAGACCCACTGACCCAATCTTAATAAAATTTAAACCATATGTCCTACATTGTAGTAGATATTGCTCGAACTACAACCAAATCAAAATTTTGGAAAAACGGGGTAAAACCAATAACTTCCCGATTAAAAAAAATTTTTAATTTTCTTAGCGGGAAGTAAAAAAAGGCTCATTTTTTTTTTTTTTTTTTTAATCTCAGCTATTTTGTTATTTTCAATAAATATTAATCTCCGTAATTTATGCAATAGCTACACTTCTATATTGAAAGTAAATAATTTTTGTTTTTCTGTTTCAGATGAGCCGTTATCAAGTTATCATGTACGTCAGCACCATAGCAACTTTTGGAGGAGTTCCGTTCACCCGTTGTTTATTCATACAAAAAATATAAGAAAAAATAAAATTAGACATTATTTGTGATATTCAAGAGTGTATGTGTTGATCTGAATAAAGTTTACATCAATATTTATAACAGTTTCTGTGTAAAAAATAATGAATATTTGCTTTTGTTCGAGCGCTGGAATCAGAATGATCCCTGAAAATAAAATAACTAATAGAATCTCCTATTTTTCCATCAACAGTATCGATATTGAGTGAAATTAAATGTTTTCTCAAAAAAAGTTCTTAAAACATTAAAAGTGTTTTCAATATAACTTCAGCTAAAACCAACTTAACAAGCCATCTAGAGTACCACCTGACAAACAAATAATTCAAAAGCCTCCTCTTAATCAAAGTCATCGAGGCGTCAGATACTCAATTCCCCAGTTTACCAACACCCCAAGTACTCATTTTCGCACCACTCTATCCATATTTACGTTGACTGTCCATGTGTAAGTCAAAGTACCTATCAAAATAATCGATGATAAATGCCTATGGATATCGATAGGCACTCGTTCCTCGTTCCTGCTCGGTGGGCCCGCTGGGAAACCACTTGGCTGTTGGGTTTTATTAGGGTGCGACTACACAACCAGTATGGTCCATGTAGAGGTTCATATACATCAAGGGTCAGTTGATAGCTCTTTCTCTTGAGCTTAAACATCAACCAAGACTACTCTTATAAACTCGCTTTTTTCTTCCCTCTCTATTCTTCTTTTCGATCAATCTACTGGGATATTTGTGTAAATAAAAAGCTGAAGCTAGAGCTCGACATGTGGAATCACCGAGGCAAGACCACCAGCAACTACTAACCACCAAAAGTCGATGGACAACTTCATCTATCTATCTTTCTGTCTATCTAACCCCAGGACTTGCTACTACATTTTTTTTTTCTTTCTAATGGGACATCCCCGAGGGTGTTACACACGTCCCAGTGTCTATGCTCGGTTCAGTTCGTTTAAGCAATAATCACAATCACAGTCTATGAAATGACGCGTTGCATAAGCCCCTAGATGAAACAACCACTCCCACATGATCATCAACACTAACACGAACTTGCTACAGCCCACGTTCAATCGATCAATTTCTTACCCTTTTTCATCTGGTGCATTAAATGTCAAAACATTTTGTGACTTTAAGCTTCCTCTCCCTTTCCCTTTTAGCGTCAATTATGTGCATATGTGCGTGTGAGTGTGGATACATTTAAATGCTTGCTCGTTTATTCATTTACGGAATTAAATGTTGACTGACTGTTGAATTTAAAATAAATTAACGCTGTCATTAAACTTCTAATGGATTAAAAATTAATGCTACGTTTTATTGCCGTTTTTTATTATCTTTTATTTGTGCGATTGAAGCATTAAAGTTTCATATTGACATTTTGTTGAGCAAAAATTGTATGAAAATAAAGTACTTTAATGTTTTTGATAAGTTACTACATCAAAAATTTTTCTGCAAGATTTAATAACGTCATTTTAAAACTGTACCGACTGAAGTATGCCGTTTCATAGATAGTATATTACATACCTAGGCCAGTAAAATAAGAAAAGTCTCAGACTATATGTAATTGTTGGCCGAGGCGAAGCCGAGGTTGACAAACATGTGGTCTGAGGCTTTACTTTTTACTGGCCAAGGTGTGTATACTATTTTTCTGCTCGACGTAGCCGGAATGTGGCAACTTTGTTTAGCGCAGCGGCCAGAAAGTTGCCACTTTCCGGCCGGAGGGCAGAAAAGATATTTCACAGCTTGCATCTACACCCGTCAGGGTGCGCTGGAATTATTTTTACATAAACTGTAGCTTCAAGGGAATAGTTTGCTATAAAAAATGCAGCTAACGCGAGATTTAAGTTGGTACCAATTGTAATTTTTTATTTTAATTACAAAAAATACTAAAATCCGAATAAAAACAGTTTCACTGTAAAAAAATCGTTAAGAAAAAAAAATTAGTTTTTTTCTTTACAAAAAGATATAAAATAAAAAAATTAAAAAATTCAAGTAACCGATATGATTGTATATGATTTTCCGAAATTAGAAAAATTTTGTTGTAAATTTAAAAATTAAAAAAAAATTTTTGGAACGTATTTAGTGTGCGTGGTTGCAAAATATTTTACTTTTAATGAAATTCGTGAATTTTATTTACTAGGACTTTATAAAAATTGAAATGCACAATGACGCACACTAAATACGTTCCAAAATTTTTTTTTTAATTTTTAAATTAACAACAAAATTTTTTCTAATTTCGGAAAATCATATACAATCATATCGGTTACTTGGATTTTTTAATTTTTTTATTTTATATCTTTTTGTAAAGAAAACAAAATTTTTTTTTCTTAATAGTCTTATGAACGTGGACTTGGCGCGATTTTTTTACAGTGAAACTGTTTTTGTTCGGATGTCCTGTAATCGATAGTCTATACCTAATATAGAAAGATAAATCGGCCTAAAATTTAACTATTATTAGACGTCTTAAGATAAATCGGATTTTTTTTTTGGGTTCTTCAAAAAAACTTTTTCTCCTGAACGATAAAATAAATCATTGTTTTCGACTAGTCTCCCAAACAACACGAAGTTTTTTTGTTAATGTTTTGGTGAATTTAAGTTGACCATTATTAATTTTTGACATCTTGTTGAGTAAGATCTACTAAAAAGTCCATTTTTTTTTCGTGACGCTTGGGCTTAAGTATAACCGAGTTTTTTTGTCGCTTCTTAAACTTAGAACTGAACGTAAACCCCTGAGAAACAAATTAGTTTTTTTCCCTAAAACTATTTGAAATTGTTAAAAATGTTATTTTTTTATGATTTTTTTCACTGTTTCATTAATAATAACTTCACTATAGGATTAACTTATAACATTGGTTCGTAACGCCTCTAAATGTATGCAGAAATAATTATTTTGAAAATATATAATAACTTTCAACTCACCTGCATTTTTATCCAGAATTTCATGGAATCGATCGACATACTGCATTACAATTGACATTGTGCCAGGAAAATTTGATATTTGTCTAAGTCTACTTACTTAAAAAGCTAATGTAAATACTCTCCTAATACAATTCTGAAAAATAAAAAAAAATAATAAATTAGCTTGTCATCAATGTTAGATGTAAGTGTTTATGTAAAGAAGATTCAAGTTTACACGATTATAAACACCCTTTCACGTATGATATTAGAGCAGATTCATAATCCTTTATAACAATAATGAAAATTTTCATCAAATTCATATGGATTTTTCCAAATCATGACCGTAATTATTTTCCGTTTCAAGCATGGAATATGAAAAATATTTTTAGCCCGAAAACATACCTCGTTTATTTAACAAGAAACTGGAATTCAAAATTTACCGCCACGCTAATGGTTCGATTAAAAGGAAAAAAGTGCTATTCGGCCTCACCCGATATGGAAAGGTAAATAAACTTAAAAGAAATTATACATTTAATAGCTAAAATTGTAGCTTGTTTTATGAGCTATAACAGAATTGCGATACGATGAGTTACGCAGAATTTATTATTTAATAATAATGCCATAAATAGAATTATTTTCATGTTTTTGCTAATTTTAAAAGCATAAAATTATAGAAAAAATTTTATGAGAAAAAAACAATATAAAATGATTACATCTGCTTTTAGATACATTTGGCAGAATTTATTTATCAATTATAGGTTTAAAGTTTTTTAGAAAAATCTTGCAAAATTCTGATGTTTATAAAAATTCAAAAATTTTACAAGTATCCACAACTTTGGAACTAATAGGATGATTTGGCCCATTTTTGAATTGGGCCGAGTTTTTCGTTGATACAACCAATTTATTAAGTTTCATCAAGATCTGTCGCGAATTGCGGCCGTAATCGTACTGACGTACATACATAGGTCATCCCGCCAAATAAAATGATTTTAAAAGGGTCACCATCGACGATTTTGGTCAAACTATGAGGAAGTATTCTCTAGAATGTTAACCCACAATTCGTAAACTAACCGGCCGGTTTTGCTGATCTTTAAACTTGATCTTGGTATTAATTCATAGGATAAATTTATAAAAGTTCATAAAAATCGGTTATGAACTGTGGGCGCAATCCTGTTGACATGGTGCGTTATATCCCGTGTATCTAAGCATTTGGGCTAATACCATTTTTCTTCGTAATTTAAAAAAATAAAATATATAGCCAAATTTTATGTAAATTGCGACATAAGATTGGCTACAATTGTTGGATTTCGCAAGAAATCTACCTAAAAATAGCTAGAATATGTTATCGTATAGTTCAATCATGTGGTTTAATTGATTCAATTGTCGAATGATGCGCTGGGCTAAGTTAAATCAATTAATGCAATGATAAGGTCTTACACATATTTTTATTAGATCTCGTTAGAAGTCTAACTGTTTTATCTGGTCCTATGAAATAAGTTTTCAGAAACTTCGTCATTTTATGATCCCAATAGACGAATAAGTTCATAAGAGTAGCATCTGTTCATAAATTGATAAATTATGGTAGCCAAATAAAAAGAGTTACTAATACTCAGCCGATTTATAATCGATATTAAATCACGATACGGCTGTGACTCAAGGTTGAGTTTCTTGACCTTGGTCTCCCTGAAAGTAGAAGATTTACGCAAACGCTAGGAGGTTAACCTATGGATAAGGGGATACTCCACGTCTGAGGGGAAGATACGAAAGAACACATGGGGTGACACTCGGCATTCTTTATTTGCAACTAGGCATCTTCTAGTTTGATAAAGGGTTCTACTATGAGTACAAGACAATTTAGATGCAAAGAGAGTGGGCATAAACCGCGGACGATCCAAATCATTACTTAATCACAACCCTATCTCTTCTAAGAACTGCATCAAATGCCGCAAATCGGAACAAAGAGTGGTTAATTTGTTCAACAAACATTGTTGAAAATAAATTTCTTTCGAAGTTCAATAATCTAAAATAGAGATCATTTAAGGGGGACAGCTACTGTGAAATTAAAAAAAAAAAAAATTTTTTTTTTTATTAAATCAAAGTTTATACATTCAAAAATATGTATCTAGAATTTTATATGAAAATGAACCGATTTGCAAATTTTTTTTCCCCGTATTCGTCTATTCAGTTAGCTATCGTTACACGTAGGGGATTTTGAAAATTTTGATTTTTAAGATTTTTTTAGAGCTGTTTGAATCCAAAAAAATGAGAAAAAAAAAAACGAAAAAATTTTAGTGTGCCATTTTTTTTTAAATCCAAATTTTCAAAATCTCCTCCGTGCAACGATAACTACATGCATGCAGATTACAACGCTATTTCGTTTTTTCTTTTTAAATAATCCGTTTTTGAGTTAGAGATCACACCATGGTGGGAGGAATTTTTTGATCCTCCACAAAAATGCTAATAACTTTGGAACAACATGATATTTTTTAATAGAAATTTAGGAAAATTATCTTTAATGTATACTTTATAAAACAAAAAAAAAACCGATCCTATCCCCCTTAAATTTCTAAACACGTTTTATACAAACAAAATTTATATCTAACACGGTAGATTGCACCTCGATGACACATTAAAAAGTTATATTTTTGAGAATTCAAAAAGAAAATTAAATTTTTTTTTTTAATTATATTCTCCAAAGGATAACTACTTTTATATTTAATTCATCTATCTGTATATACGAATCCCCAATATGTTTGTCATTTATATGTCATTGTCATAAAATGTATTATATGTTTTATACATTTATTATAGTGGAATATTATTTTATGAAAAAATGTTTAAAATTCAGGAGTTCAACTTTTTTATACTAACTAATATTCATGTAAATAAGATTTCAATTAATTTGTCAGCAATGATAGTAACGAAACAGAAAAATATCAAAAGACATTTTCAATAGCACTAAAGGTTAATGTTTAGCTTGAGTAATAATTTATGTGAGTAGTTGTAACCTTAATCTTTTTGTTACATCAATCAAACATAAAACTAAAACAAAAGAACGTTGCAGCTCATCGAGGTCGTTTTGTGTACTTTGTAAACTAGTGAATACGCACGTTATAACAATTACGCCTACATGCTTCCTTACTTAGTATAAATTCAAGTATCGTATGAATAATTGGTCAATGAATTTGAAAAATACTATCGTGACGGAAAAGTTTAGAAAACTGTTAAATGACTCATAAAATTATGTTTTACATTAAATTTACTTGAAAAAAATAAATTCATAATGATAGTTCATTGTCCAATGACCAATGACCAAGCCTGGACCGAGACTTAGTCCAATGGTGTAGTATTATTTAGTCGAGCCTTGGGAAGTTATCACTGGCCAAGTCTCGGCCTAGGCCTGGCTCAATAGTATGATATCATTGACCCGAGCCTTGGAAAGTCACCACTGAGCCAAGCCTACCCCGAGACTTGGTGCAATGATTTAATGTCGTTGAACCAAGTCTTGAAACATGTAAGAGTTGAAAACACTTGAATAATTTGAATTCAAAGGAAATTTTGTTTATTCTCAGATTGGTTGGATCAATGGCACAGAAAATGAAATTTTTTTATATGTGCATCTTCTATATGAACCTCAGTTCCAAAAAAAAAAGTCAAAATTTGCATTTTTTATAGGGCTGTTAAAATAAGTCGTGATTTTTTATCATTTTTTCATATATTGTTTATTATAAAAAAAAAATAGTTTTAAAAAAAATATCGCTTATCATATAGTTTTTTTTTAGTTAAAAACAAATTTTAAATGGCGAGCGTTGAGAATATTAATGGTCTTTTCTCGAAAAAATGAAAAATTTAATGGAACTTTATATATAAAAATTTTGTTTTATAATCCGGCCAATTTAGTTAAAAAATCTATGGTGAAGTTACAATAATTTTCATAGATTAAAATAGCTGAAAATTAGTACAGTTTTTGGATACGCTATTACGAATGAAATTTGAAAAATTCTCATCGATTACACATCGGTTAAAAATTTTTTCAAGGTTAAAATTTCGAGGTCAAAATTATGCAAGTTATTATTAATTGAATTGTTTACTTGAATCGGACTATAATATTTTATTGAAAAGTGAATGTAAAACCAAAAATTAAAAAGATGTTTGAATAAATTAATTTTTGAAAAATTTATTGCTATTTTTTTGACAACATCGTAATTTTTTTTTTCAATGGACTATAAAAACTTGAAAACAGAATAAGAAACGTTTTCAATAAGAAAAAAAAACGTAGAATATTCTTAGCGAAATCGAAAAGAATCGAGTCCTAAAAAACTATTTATACAGATATTACCAAATGTAGAAAATAAATTAATCTATTTATTTATAATTTTTTAAACATTCTATGAATCGTTAAAAGTAATTCATTACAAATCAAGACTTAGTAAGATTAAATTCATTGAGAGTTATCGACTTATAAGAAGTCTAAACTACTGTTACAAGTATAGAGCGTTATAAGTTATAGCATAGATATATAGGTATATGTATGAATACGTGTGATTGTTACAAAACATTTATTACTGACTACTTGAAAGTAATCACCAGTTAGCATCTGAAATTTACATATTATGTCGATATTAGATAACACGTACAATCACTCATGTATAGATGATATTGTTGTACAGAGAACAAGTCGATTCGCCTCGTCCCTAGTTGCAAAACTGTGGGCGTCTGACAAATCAACCAAAACGCGCCGAGCAAGCAAAATACTTTGTAATTGCGAAAATTGTACATATTATTGCTGGGACTAAAGGGGGCCAGGTAGCCTATAGTCAAGACACAAGATTCATGACACAATTTACTTTTTACCGATGAAATTTAATCCAGTTTTTTTGATGGGAATTTAATATTTTCAGTTCCTTTTTAGAATTTAATTATCATTGAATATCAATATTGTCTTGTGACAATAATTCATTCATACTATTTTAAATGAGGTACAAATATGCCTGTATATATGTCGTGTACTTGTGGATCTACGCAAGTGAATGACTTACAACTTATACCTTTTGTATTAATGAGGAACTGAAACAATTC